AATTTTTTTTTCCCTGGGGGTAACTTCGCTTCCATGCTGGTAAATTTACTGTTATTTTATTTTATTACAGGTGGTCCTCGACTTACCGACTGGTTGCTAAGTGACCATTTGATATTACAACAGACTCCCCAAAAGGGATTTACCACCCAGTTCTGAAGTTACGACATCCCCCCCTCCAGGGTGACATAACTGCAATTTGGCACTTGGCAACCAGCCTGTGTATATGGCCATTTGCAAGCACCCCACAATCACATGAGTGCGATTTTCAATATTTTTCCCTGGGGGAAACTGGCATTTACTTCCAGTTGCTGGGGGGGGAGGGAATGCCCGATAGCAACCAATGGATTTACTTAATGACCGCCACATTCATTTTATGGCTGCCCTGTGGACTTAATGGCCGCTAAGAAGATCATGAAATCAGGTCCAGTCACAGGATAACCTACTTTACACAAATGTGATGACCTGCTTTACAACCGTCCAAACTTGTGACCATAATTTCCAGGCTCAATTACAGTCACAACTCAAAAACTACCTGTACTATTATTAGTGTGCCCTGTTTAGGTTCAGAAGCTGCTTTGCAACAACAGTGTGCCCTGTTTAGGTTCAAAAGCTGCTTTGCAACAACAAAATCCCCAGAGCATTAGTAAGATCGACTTCTCCAACTTTTGAAGCCTGCAGACCAGTTAAGATTCAAACTCTTAAGTTCCTAGCTCTATTCAGATCCTCGGGTCTGCTGGTTCCTAATCTCCTGATTTTAACTTTTTGCCACCCAGTGAAAACCAACTCCTTGTCATGAATTGACGGGGTCATGAATTGTCAATTCACTGTCACGAATTGACTTCAACTAACATGTACTGTAGCCCAAACCAGGGTTTTTCAGATGGTAGAACTATAAGAACTTAATGGAGTTTCCTGAGAGAGGAAAAGGGAGGGAGGGAAGGAAGGAAGGGAAAGAAAGAAAGAAAGAAAGAAAGAAAGAAAGAAAGAAAGAAAGAAAGAAAGAAAGAAAGAAAGAAAGAACAAAAGGAAAGAAAGAGAAGGAAGGAAAGAGGGAAAGAAAGAAAAATAAAGAAAATAAAGAAAAAATAAAAATGACTTCAACCGCAGCCAATTTTCCCTCTTGATCAGTGCTCAAAATTTATTATTTGTTTTTTTTTAAAAAAAAAAAATTACTGGTTTCACAGTCTAAAAAGCAATGACCAAAAAGATAAGAATACTTACTTTGTCAAAGAAAAAAAAAACCTCACACACATTGGGTTCTTTTGGGGGGGGGGGGGAAGCAGGGGAAAAAAATCCTGTCTTTAAAGACTAACACGTTTATTAAAAGTCTTAACAGATCACCACTTTCTGCAGAAGATAAAAATACCTTGTCTAGCAAGCTCACTTACCCCGAAGGAAATACTTGGTTACGTTTGCTCTAAAGTAATTAACTAAAATGATGAAAGGGTGCCCCAGAATAGGAAGAAACACCTCCAAAGGTTATTTTATTTTTTTTAAAAAAATCAGGAATTCCTCCTCCATGCCTTACAGCAGTGTTTCCCAAACTTGACAATTTTAAGCAACGCTGGCTGTGGAATTCTGGGAGTTGAAGTCCTCATGCCTTAAAATTGTCAAGTTTGGGAAACACTGCCTTACAGTATCGGCTGCCAACTTCGCCATGCTTTTCAGCCGAGCCCTCCAGGGCTGCTGTTTACAGAGCTCAGCTGTCCTTACATCGGTTTACTGTGTTACCCATCTCTGTATGGGTGGATTTGAATCTTGTATTTAGCTGCCAGGAGTGACTGTGATGAAGTGGAGGAGATAAACTGATAAATTGCGTGCCAGGAAGATGTGGGAGAATCAATCAGAGGGAGGGAGGAAGCTGGTTGGGTTTCCTCCCTGTTTCTCAACCTTGACAATTTTAAGGCATGTGGACTTCAACTCCCAGAATTCCACAGCCAGCATTGCTGGCTGTGGAATTCTGGGAGTTGAAGTCCACATGCCTTAAAATTGTCAAGATTGAGAAACATTGGCCCCTGGTTTTTCTCTTCCTAGCCTTGAGAACAACACACTTAAGAAGCCTGAATGTAATTGCTACAATCATAATAATTTGGTGGGGAGAGTGAGTAAAACAAACTGAAGAACCGTCATGGGATGCTTTTTAAATGGCTGGTTATATTTATTTTTCTTTCAAGGGAGGTCTTAAGGAGGAAGAGTTTTATAGTTTTGCTGTAGTAACGTGTAATATTTGTTCAGTAAACAGTAATTGTTAGAGATGCCAGACTAGAGTTTCTCAAGCTTAGCAACTTTTAAGATGTATGAACTTCAACTCCCAGAATCCCCCAGTTAGCCATACTAGATAGGGAATTCTGGAAGTTGAAGTCCGTGCTGGTTGGGGAAGCCATGTTGGCTTGGAATACTGTGAATTGAAGTCCACACTGACTAGGCCACGGGTCTTCAAACTCGGCCCTTTTATGACTCATGGACTTCAACACCCAGAATTCCTTATCCAGGCACAATGACAGGAATTCTGGGAGTTGAAGTCCATGAGTCATAAAAGGGCCAAGTTTGAAGACCCTTGGACTAGGGCAGTGGTTCTCAACCTTTTTAATGCCGCGACCCCCCCCGAAGCAGTCGTAAGTCGAGGACTACTCAACCAGTCGTAAGTCGAGGACTAAACTGGTCGTAAGTCGAAGACTACCCAACCGGTTGTAAGTCGAGGACTTTCCCTGCTCGGGAGTGCCGCGCATGCGTGGTGCCGCCCCCTGCGCCAGTCAAGGCGTAGCTGGCAAGCGGCAGAGACGGAGCAGGCCGACCACCGGCTGGGCCACCAGCTGGCCCAGCCCAAGGGAGGTAAGGCACCCGCCGGGCCCCACATGCGCCAGCAACCCTCCCTGCGCCCGGCGGCCTCCCACCTCCCACCCCTGGCTCTCTTTTACATACATTTTTAGTAGTTGCTCAGCAGGGAGGGGTGGAAACTTCCAGACAGCTCGCCTTCGCTGCAGACAACTTGCAGTACCATTTGCAGAATGGGACTTTTGGCGGGCTCAGCAAGACAGAGACAGCCTGGACAATTCCTATTGGCTTTTGAAAGCCAATAGAATTAGACTCTATTCAAGAGAGTCTATTCTATTGGCTTTCAAAAGCCAATAGAATAAAAGGGAATAGCACAGCTAAGGAAAAGGGGGGGAAAAATGGCGGACTGCGTTGTTTGGCGACCCCCGTGAAATGGTCGTTCAACCCCAAATGGGGTCGCGATCCACAGGTTGAGAACCGCTGGACTAGGGAGTCCATGCTGGCTGGGGAATTCTGGGAATTGAAGTCCATGCATCTTAAGGTTACCAAGGTTGAGAAACTTTACCAGACTTTACCAAGATTGAAGTTACACTTATCAAAAAGGGAGCAAAGCTATGTCTTCTCTCTTGGCCTTGCCCCGTATCATCCTATCATAACTTTTTATTTTTATTTATTTATCAAATTTTAAATAGGTTCCTGGGAAATAATCAATAAAGCTATCTATATAGAACAGGGGTGTCAAACTGCCGGCCTGTGGGCCGGACACATCATCCGGAAGCCGCGCCCACTCCATTGCCGGCAATGGCAAAACCGTCCCGATATGTTGCGCGACGTCACATGATGTTGCGAGTTTGACATGTCTGATATAGAAGGAACACAGCACAGAGGCATAGATAAAATGACTGATTCCTGAATGGGTAGGAAACAGTCAACTATTTTAAAAAAAACTATCAGACTCAGTGGAAGTACACCATAGATTTTTTTCAGTATTTTTTACATTATTCAAGAACATTTTGCCCATCACTGGGATAGCAAGTCATTTGCAGAGGAAATGTTATAGGTAATCCTTGACTTATAACTATAATTGGGCCCAAAATTTCCATTGCTAAGCGAGACAATTGTTAAGTGAGTTTTGCCCCATTTTACGATCTTTCTTGCCAGTTTTTGGAATGAATCCTGCAGTTGTTAAGTTAGTAACACAGTTATAAAAGTGACTCTGGCTTCCCCCATTGACCTTGCTTGTCAGAGGGTTGCAAATGGGGATCACACGACCCCGGGACACCGCAACCATCATGAATATGAGTCAGTTGCCAAGTGGCTGAACTTGGATCACATGACCATGGGGATGCTACAATGACCATGTGAAGAACGGTCATAAGTCATTTTTGTCAGTGCCTTTGTAACTTAACAGTCACTAAATGAACTGTTTTAAGATGAGGACTACTTGTATATGGCCTACAGCAGGGGTTTTCAAACTTGGCAACTTTAAGACTTGTGGACTTCAACTCTCAGAGTTAAAAGGGCCACAAGTCATAAAAGGGCCAAGTTTGAAGACCCCCTGCCTTAATTTAACTAGGTCAGAGGGTAACACTACAGATGAAGAGTCAAAATACAGCAGACAAGCAAATTGCTTTTCTAAAACAAGAAGTTATAATTCAGGATAATTCTCTTTAGGTCAGTGGTTCTCAACCTTTTTAATGCCGCGGCCCCCAACCGGACGTAAGTCGAGGACTACTCAACCGGTCGTAAGTCGAGGACTACTCAACTGGTGCAGCACCGTTTGCAGAATGGGACTTTTGGCGGGCTCAGCAGGGCAGAGGCAGCCTGGACAATTCCTATTGGCTTTTGAAAGCCAATAGAATTAGACTCTATTCAAGAGAGTCTATTCTATTGGCTTTCAAAAGCCAATAGAATAAAAGGGAGTAGCACAGCTAAGGAAAAGGGGGAAAAAAAATGGCGGACTGCGTTGTTTGGCGACCCCCGTGAAATGGTCGTTCGACCCCAAATGGGGTCGCGATCCACAGGTTGAGAACCACTGTTCTAGGTGTAGAACCGAAGGAAAAATCCGGAGAACCGTTCTTGGAAAGCATGGCTCCTAGCTTCAGAAGGCGTGATACAAACCTAAGAAAGATTATCTTGATCCTTACCTGCACTTTCAAAAAACCCTTCCAGCTTTGCCTTGATCTGCCTTTTCTCAATGCCATTTCCCTTTTTCTTGCTTCTAGCTGCTCCGCGAACTTATTGAACGCAAAACCAGTTCCTTGGATCCAAACGACCAAGTTGCAATGGGCAGGTAAGTGCATCAACATCGTAGGCCTTTGACAAGAGATAGAGCAGGGGTGTCAAACTTCCAGCCCACGGGCCGGATGCGTCATGCCGAAATCGCGCCCACCCCATTGCCGGCAATGGGGGGGGGGAAGCGATACGTCGCGACATGTCATGTCATGTGACATTGCGAGTTTGACACCCCTGAGACAGAGGCTCTACAACTGATGGCTCACCTTCAGGTCTCTCTCTTTTTTAAAATAAATTTTATTCATTTCAAAGGCAAGGTGTTAAAACAGTGGTTCTCAACCTTTTTAATGCCGCGACCCCCAACCGGTTGTAAGTCGAGGACTACTCAACCGGTCGTAAGTCGAGGACTACTCAACTGGTGCAGCACCGTTTGCAGAATGGGACTTTTGGTGGGCTCAGCAGGGCAGAGACAGCCTGGACAATTCCTATTGGCTTTTGAAAGCCAATAGAATTAGACTCTATTCAAGAGAGTCTATTCTATTGGCTTTCAAAAGCCAATAGAATAAAAGGGAGTAGCACAGCTAAGGAAAAGGGGGAAAAAGTGGCGGACTGCGTTGTTTGGCGACCCCCGTGAAATAGTCGTCCGACCCCAAATGGGGTCCCGACCCACAGGTTGAGAACCACTGTGTTAAAACCAAACTACAGAAACAAAAATGCAAAGATTACGCACAAGACAAAAAGAAAATAATTAAAAATGTGCACAACGTATGTCAGGCCAACCTTAAACATACCTTGTCCATCCTGGTTTAATGTTGACTAATATATCTCAAATAAATCTAGTAAATTCTCCCTCCCCCAGACCCTTTTTTTGTGGAGGCTCTGCTTTTAAAAACAGCGTGGTCTAATGGTTAAGGCCCTAGGCTAGAAACCAGGATATAGAGCTCAAATTTAAGCATGAGAGCTGGCTGGGAGACTTTAGGCCAGTCCCCAAGAGCCTGCAGGTTTTAGTCCCAAATCGGTGACTTTGGGCTAATCACCAGGAGATGGTGAGTTCTAGTTGGGTGACTTTGAGCCAATCACTCTCTTTCAGCCCAACTCATCTCACAGGGTGGTCGTTGTAGGGAAAATAGAAGGAGGAAGGAATATTAGGTATATTCGCTCCCTTGATTTATTCATAAAAATAATAAAGGCAGGGTTAAAAAAAAAAAACTAAAATAAATAAGAATAAAGCCTCATCTACTCCCACCCCCGTGAATCATACTTCTTTCTTAGTAATTTGCTTGTCTTTATGTTTTATGTTGTTGCTATTTATTATACTAACTTGCCTTTGGTATTAATTATGAGCCCCCGTCAGAACCTATGGGGGAAGGAGGCAGAGATGAATGTACAGAGCAGGAACAAGCCCAAGACCGGGCAGCCTTTTTGTAAATGGGTGGCAGCAGATGATCATCCAGAGCTCACAATTGGGAGGACAAAACTTGTCCTCTTTTCAACGCAAGTAAAACGGTGCAGCGCTCGAGACGGTACAGGCAGTCCTCGAATTAACGACCACGGTGGAGCCCCAAAATTTCCGTTAAGTGAAGCGCTTGTTAAGTCAGTTTTGCCCCTTTTTTCGGCCCTTCTTGCCACAGTTGTTAAGTGATTCACTGCAGTTGGTAAGTTATTAACCCAGTTGTTAAGTGAATCTGGCTCCCCCATTGACTTTGCTTGTCAGAAGGCTGCCAAAGGTGATCACGTGACCTTGGGACACGGCAACAGTCATAAATAGAAAACCAGTTGCCAAGCATCTGAATTTTGATCACATGACCATGGGAATGCTGCAAAGGTCGTAACCAGTTGCGAAGCATCTGAATTTTGATCACATGACCATGGGGATGCTGCAAAGGTCGTGACTCTGAAAAATGATCATAAGTCAAATTTTTCAATGCCATTGTAACTTTCAACAGTCACTGAATGGAACTGTTGTAAGTCAAGGACTACCAGTATTTTATTGGAGTCAAAGAAGCTTGTTGGGGTGATTCACCATGTATCCCTATAGCTGGTCATCCATAACACACATGTTATCAGCCCAGAACCCTATAACTTCTAAACCAGCGGTTCTCAACCTATGGGTCGCGACCCCATTTGGGGTCGATCAACCATTTCACGGGGGTCGCCAAGCAAGGCTGTCTGCCATTTTTTTTCTCCTTTTCTGGTGGGTGCCTTACCTCCCTTGGGCTGGACCAGCTGGTGGCCCAGCTGGTGGTCGGCCTGCTCCGTCTCTGCCGCTTGCCAGCTATGCCTCGGCCGGCACAGGGGGCGGCACCACACATGTGCGGCGCTCCCGGGCAGGGAAAGTCCTCGACTTACGATCGGTTGGGTAGTCCTCGACTTACGACCAGTTTAGTCCTCGACCGGTTGGAATCAGCTCCCCCCGGAGATTAGGACCGCTCCCACCCTGTTGGTCTTCCGTAAGCTACTTAAGACCTGGCTTTTCCGGCAGGCCGGGGGTTTATAAAACCTTACCCCTGGATGATTGTTTTTGTATTGTTGTTTTGTTATGTTTTATGTGTTTTTTATTGTTAGCTGCCCAGAGTCTTTCGGGAGTGGGGTGGCTTATAAATTTTATAAAATAAAATAAAATAAATAAATTAAAAAGGTTGAGAACCACTGTTCTAAACAGACCCTGCAGTTTACTGAGAACAAAGAATACAAGCCAGCCAGTCCATCTTTCAGACCTAGTATGTCTACACCAGAAGTCCCCAACCTTTTGGGCACCAGGGACGGTTCTGTGGAGAGAGGTTTTTCCGCGGACCAGAGGTGGCATGATTTTGTGTGCTACCTGCATCCCGCAGATGGGGCTTTGTTTGTTTGTGGGGACCCGTAACTGGCATGCTGTGGCCCGGTACTGGTCCACAGACTGTGGGTTGGGGACCCCTGGTCTACACAGACTGATTCATGAAGCGGATCTATTCCTATTCAAATTGAAGAAGCTGCACTTAAATTGAAAAAGACTTTATTTCATCCAGACATCCTGCCAACACATTGAGCTTCTGAATTGCTACAGTCCCAGAAAAGAGTTAGTACAACAAACGATCACATTTTGAATGTACATATTTATTCATTTACATGAAAGGATCAAACAGTCGATCAGAAACCACAAAAAATAGGGAAATGATATAATAATGATGATAAAGTTGGAAGGGATCTTGGAGGTCATCTAGTCCAACCCCCTGCTCAGACAGGAAACCCTATACCATTTCGGACAAATGGCTGTCCAATTTCTTCTTAAAGACTTAAAGTGTTGGTGCATTCACCGCTTCTGGAGGCAGGTTGTTTCACTGGTTAATTGTTCTCACTGTCAGGAAGTTTCTCCTTCGTTCTAGGTTGCTTCTCTCCTTGATTAGGTCCCATCCGTTGCTTCTTGTCCTGCCTTCAGGCGCCTTGGAGAATAGCTTGACTCCCTCTTCTTTGGGGCAGCCCCTGAGATATTGGAACAGTGCTATCATGTCCCCCCTCGTCCTTCCCTTTAAATTAATATAGGTAGTCCTTGGTTAATGAAAGCAATTGGGTTTGGAATTTCTGTCGTTAAGTGATACAGTTGTGAAGCACAATGTTATGTGACTGCGCAGTTTAGCAACACCGCTTCCAGTTGTGGTCATTAAAGGAATCCCGCAATGTCATTAAGTGAATGTCACATGATCACCATTTGCAACCTCCGGGCTTCCCCACTGACTCCTTGTCAAAAGCTGGCAGTGAAGTCTATGAGGCTTCCACCTATCCACGAGGCATTGCAACATTGTAAATGTGAACTGGACACCATATTGCCAATTACAATAACATGACCCCAGGGACACTGCAACAACCAGAATTTCAAGGATTGGTCTTAAAAACTACTTGTTCAGCATTTGTAAGTTAAAATGATCACCTAGTAAGTATTCATTAAGCGAGGACTACCAGTATATGTCATAATCCATTTAGTTAAATGCATAATCACAAACTGTAAATTGGAAAGTAAGGATCATACTAACCCGATGAAGTCAATACCTCCTGCATTGCAGCAAAGCAAATATTTTACTATACTCCTTGTATTTTATTGGCATGTCCTAAAAAAAAAGTTCAGCGTAAAACCTATTTATTCTTCCTGGAGATTTCTAAAGACTAGGTGCCATGTAAAGTTCATAAGCATCTCTGTAAAAATTGCAATGAAGAACCCAAGCTGGAGAGTTTTAATCTGTGCAGAGTCACATGGCGCAGGGGTAGGCAACCTCGGCTCTTTTATGACTCATGGACTTCAACTCCCAGAAGACAGTTGTTCAGAGAGTTTTTTCCCTTTTTGCAACTTTTGTCACAATTGTCAAGCAAATCATTGCAACTCGTGGTGTCATTAAGCAAATCTGGCTTCCCTATTGACATTGCTTGTCAGAAGTTGGCTGGGAAGGTTACCAAGGGTGACCACATGATCCCGGGACAGTGCAACTATCATAAATACATGCCAATTGCCAAGTATCTGGATTTTGATCACGTGACCCTAGGGATGCTGCAATGGTTGTTAAGAGTGAAAAACGATCACAAGTCACTTTTTCCAGTACTGTTGTAACTTCAATCACTAAATGAATGGTTGTAAGTCAAAAACTACCTGTATTACGTTTGCCAACTTAAAGGACTGAGGATAAAATGTTACGGCTGGCATGATTTTTTTCCACCCTAAACTAGGGCAGTTTAACACCTCGTATAGTTTGCCCATTTACATGTATTTCTAATGTTGAGTATCCTGAACTCAGTGATAAGGCAGTGTTTTGAACAATAGTGTATATAATTTGTTCAGAACTCAGGTTTTTTGGCCACCCTGCAAATCTCCTTATTTTTCTGGTACATCACTTTGACATTTGGGTCAAGGAGAAAAATAGGACAGAGGTTTTTAAAAAGTTTCTCTCACCTTTAGTTTAGTGCTGAAGAGAGCTTGGGCAAAACCACGAAGAAGGAGGAATTGTAATTACAAACATTTTTATTTTAAGACCCAAAATGGCACTGCTTTCATCTGATTTACTTGTTGGGGAGCCCTGGATCAGGGAGGCAAATCTCAAAATCCAATTACCACAATCTTAATATAATCTTAATTGCTGTAATCTATTTTATTGTAAAGTCAGATAAATGGGCAGTGTAATAACTGCTTAAGTGCAGGGGGTGTTTTGGTCTCCGTCCCATTAAATTATAGCAGAGTGAGGTTTCCAGAGACATTAGTGCCAAACCACCAAATATATTTGACACCCAGCACCCGAAGCTCCGGCAATATTTTAAGAAGAGTGAAACCATTTTGCCAGCGCACCTGGACTTTTTCCAAATGCATCCATTGGTTTTTCAGCAGTGAGTTGCTGTTTCAGCCCTTTGAATCTCTTCTTTTTTTTTTTTTTAATTTCATTTTGTGTTTCCTTTAACACACTTCCAATGCATTAGCCAGCAGCTGTAATTAAATAAATATCCTTAATTAAACAAAAGTAAAAAAAAAAAAGCTGTATGTATATTGTCTTTTTTCTCCTTCATTTAGAATTGGGAAAATACAGCATTTGCCCCTTAGCACTGCATTTCTTTTTCATTTCTAATTTTTAAAAGAACTTTTACAGGTAGACCTCGACTTAACAACAGTTTGTTTGATGGACGAAGTTACAACTGCACTGAAAAAAGAGACTTATGGCCATTTTTTCAGACTTACAACCATTGTGGTATCCCTGTGGTCACATGATTAAAATTCAGATGCTTGGCAATTGATTCATATTTATGACGGTTGCAGTCTTTCAGGGTCATGTGATCCCCTTTTGCGACCTTCTGACAAAGTCAATGGGGAAGCCAGATTGACTTAACTGTGTTACTAACTTAACAACTGCCGCGATTCACTTAACTGTGGGAAGAAAGGTCATGAAACTCACTTAACAATTGTCTTGTGTGGCAACAGAAATCTTAGGCTCAATTGTGGTCATAAGTTGAGGACTGCCTGTAATTGTGGGCATAAGGACAAGCCATTTGAGGTTGGTGCTCCAGGTGCTGAATTTCAACAGCTCTGATCTCGAAGCCACAATGTCAGGATCCTGAGAAGGGAACAACACAGATAGTCTTCAACTTGCGGCCCTAATGGAGCCTGCCCATTGTGGTTGTAAGTCATGACAGTTGTAAAGAGAGTCACCTATATGACTGACCCAATTTTACAACCTTTTTTTGCAGCAGGTTAATGAATGCCATCATCCTAAAGTGAACCCATTGTTCGCTGTCAGCCCTTTCACTGAAAAACCAGAAATAAGCGCCAGTTTTTAACAAAAACCATCATGAAATATAGTCATGTGACCATGGGGCGCTGCAAACAGCCATAAACACAAGTCAGTTGCCAAGCACCCAACATGCAGTCACATGACCGGGGGGGGGAAGTGACTGTCAGAACTTTGGATTATAAGTATCCCTAGGGAGATCTATCATAACTTTGAACAGTTGCTAAGCAACCAGTCATAAATCAAGGACTACCTGTACCACGAAGGCATCTCAGAAGATGGAGGTAGCAGCTGATGGAGCTTTTTTTTTTATTACAATTGTTGATTCCATCGCTTTTGAGAAGGAGATAGAAACCTTTTCCATACTGTGCAACTTGAATGCCCCACTGTCATTCCTTATTTTTATAGACAATGGCTGGCTATCCAGAAGTTGAGGAGTAAAATTCGGAAGAGAGTAGACACCAAGGCCAGTAAAGGAAGGAAAATCCGGTGAGTAGAAAAAGACATGTGGTTTTCTGTCCTCTTAACTTCTACATTATAGTTACCCCCTTTTATGAAAAAGCTAAAGGTAGTCCTGTTACAAACAGTTCTGTTTAGTTCTTTCTCTGGTTTTCTGTCAGTGTTAAAAATAGATTAGGGCTCTCCAAATTTGGCAGCTTTAGGACTTCTGGATTTCAACTCCCAGAGTTCTTCAGCCAGCCATGCTGGCTGGGAATTCTGGGAGTTGAAGTCCACAAATTGCCAAATTTGGAGTCCCCTGAAATAAGATGATGAAATATTTCAATCTGCATTGTCTTTGTTGGGGTTCTCCATGCTTGGGGGGATTAGCACCAAGATGCAGATCAGGGTTTCTGTAGACATTTTACCTCGTATTTCAGCAAATCGACCTCAGCAGAGCCATCCACATTATTAATCTTTGTGGGATGCACAATTCCAAATCATCAGTCAAAATCTTTCCAAAAAAGCATCCAACCAACTGTGCAGAATTTAACTGCCACAAGGCAGCCTCCATTTTTGGACCATTGTGTGGGTACTGATCTGATTGAGCCTGAGTACCACAATAATATGTATAAAGAACCTTTCATTACCCAACTAGGTAGCATCACCAGTGTTTAAAGGGAGTGGAGTTTGCAAATTGAAGTTGTTGTAGGTAAGTAGGTAGATAATTGATGGTGTTACCTAGTTGGGTCATGAAATGCCTGAAAGACAACAGCCAAGCTGAGAGAGCATCAAGGATCCCACAGTTGTTATTGTTAAGTTCTTCTCCTCTTCTTCCTCCACCTCTCCACAAACCCCACTCCAATGGTGGGATTCAGTCAGTTTGCACTGGTTCTGTAGAACCAGTAGCTAAATTTTGTTGAGTTCGGAGAACCGGCTGAACCCATGCTGCTTCTGGAAATCTGTTCTAGGCCTCAGAGGCCTGGAGGAGGTCTCCCAGGCCTAGAAGGGCCTACAGGAAGTGTGTGGATGTCACTTCCGGAAGTCCGTTCTAGGCCTCGGAGGCCCAGGCCTGCATCCACGCAGAGAACCGGATATTCAGGTATTTGAATCCCACCACTGCCCCACTCCCTTCTACCGGTAGCCCTGATGGTGTTACCTAGTTGGGTCATGAAACATCTGCAAGAAAAACAACCAAGCTGAGAGAGCACCAAGGACCTCAGAGTTGTTCTTGTGGCCATCGTCCTCCTCCTCTTCCTCCTTTCCACAAACTCGACTCCATTCTAGACTTGATGATGTTACCTAGTTGGGTCATGAAACGTCTGCTAGAAAAACAAACAAGCTGAGAGAGCACCAAGGATTCCAGAGTTGTCATCGTCGTCGTCGTCTTTCTCCTCTTCCTCTTCCTCCTCCTCCTCCTCCTCCTCCCTGCAAACCCACCCCCTTCTAGCCCTGATGATGTTAGCTAGTTGGCTCATGAAACATCTGCAAGAAAACAGTCACGCTCTGAAAGCACCCAGCGCCCCACTGTTCAGCTCAGAGCTACAAACGTTCTTTTCCACGAAGCCCTATTTAAAGTCCCGTTTTCCTGGGATGGGCAAAGCTTTTCAATCGGGAGCGTTCCTTAACGCCTTCTCTTTTCCTTTCCCTTCTCTCATCCCTCCCCTCCCCCGGCCTTCCAGGTATCATGTCCACAGCAAGCTGGCGAGCTTCATGGCACCCATTGACCACTGCACAATGAATGATGATGCCAGGTTAGTAAGCAGTTAATTACGCTTCTGGAAGGGCTTTGTGACAGCTTGATATTGACCTGTTCTTCAGCCTGTCACCGTCTCGGGTTCTTTTGTATCAGCCAGCCATTTGTCACAGGCCATGCCGCCCCTTTATCCAGGCCGAGCCAGCTGCGTGTGCTTCCCACACTCTCTCCCACACTCTCTCGCACACCCTGCCAAATTGCACACAGCGCTTTTCCACAGTTCAGCCCAGCCTGTGCCCTTGATATTTGCCGCTTCAGTGCTTCAGGGAGAGCTGAGTTTGTGGTGTATGCTTTTAATTTCCATTTTTAAAAAAAAAAAAAAAAACCGGGGGGGGGAGGATTGCGGTATTATAGTGCCTTTGGTGACATCTTAAGGAAGAGATTTACAGGGATGTAAGCACGGGCTCGCAAAAACGCACGCCCCAATTATTTCCATTTAAAGTTGCCACCAAATTCTTCCTTTCTTTTGCTGTAATAGATGTACCTGTGGTGATCCCTCTGGAATTAGATTATTTGGGTGATTTTTTTTTTTAAATGACAGGATATTGTTGCAAGTTCAAGATAAACATAGGCGACTCTTGTGGGCTTAGTCCGTTTAATCAAAGGCATAAAATGGATTCTGGTCCATGAAAGCTCATGGCATGGTGAATTTATTAGGTTTTTAAGGTGCCATAAGACACTTTGCGAAAGATCAGGCAATTTATTGGTTTAAGAGCTCTCCTTCTCTCTCTCTCTCTCTCTCTCTCTCTCTCTCTCTCTCTCTCTCTCTCTCTCTCTCTCTCTCTCTCTCTCTCTCCCTCCCTCCCTCCCTCCCTCCTTTTTTGGTGAACTATCAAATAACAGAACCAGATTTTCATGAACTATTTCCTAACCAATCCAGGAAACTTTGTTTAATGGTGTTTGAAACAAATCACTGTTTTCAGCAACTCCTGTGGCTCAGGTGTCATTTAAATACGGCTTTTGTATTTTCAGCAGACTAACACAGCTGCTCGCCAGGAGATTTTAAGTTAAAAATAGAAGTCAGCAATGCTAAATAATGCTGGTTGCTAAACACGCACTGATTTTTGCTTCATGATACAATTGTGAGATGTATAGTCGGTACTGTTGGTGTCTGCAATTCATATGAAGACAACTGTCCAATTTAAAATTCTAGTTTATACCTTCCCATTCCCATATGTTTGCATACCTCTGTGTGTGTGTGTCTGTGTGTCTGTGTGTGTGTTGTAATGCAAAGCTCATATATGCATGAAGGAGGGAACAGTAATAATAATAACACTGCTTTCTTTAGCGGCAGTGGAAGGTAATTTCATTGTTTGCAAGTGTGAATTACTAGATTGAAAATGCAAATACACATTTCACAGTGGTGTGATCATGCACTCAGCCTTTTTGCTCTGTTAGTTTGAAGGCTTCACCCCAAAACAAATAAAAGTCTCGTACAGCGGGGAGCGCTGCATGTTTATAGTGTGAAAAAAAATCAGAAAAACAGGGTTGTGCTTACTGCCTATAAAATAAATTAATTGTACGGAGATGGCTGACAACACCAAATTCCAACCAAAGAAGGAAAACTAGATAAATCTTCAGATGTAGGAGCTATCCATCTGGGACACAAGCCTTTTGTTGGAAAACAGTTACTCATGAATGGTTCTCACTTGTCCAGATTTTAAACCAGAGATTGTCCCCAGAGAGTGTAAGGTGGGGAGGCCAAAAAAAACCTGGTGGTTTAATGAACCATCTAAGCATGATATATACCAGTGATGGCGAACCTTTTAGAGACTGAGTGCCCAAACTGCAACCCAAAACCCACTTATGTATCGGGTGCCGGGTGGGTGTGGCCCATTGGGTGGGCATGGCTGCGGGTAACAGCAGACTGGGTGGGATTAAAAAGTTCAGTCAATCAATTCCAACTTTGCAAGATTTTTTTTTCCCACGAGAAGTTAAAATTGACTGATTGATCGAACCTTTTTTTTTTTTTTTTTTTGCACATGGCGGTGGAGGCCTAAAGCGAAAAGGTTTTATGAAACCCAGCTGAAGGCCTAGGACTGGGGCGAGGGCGCACGTGTCCACAGAGAGGGCTCTGAGTGCCGCCTCTGGCACCCGTGCCATAGGTTCGCCATCACTGATATATACATTAAACTGTTGTCCAAGGAAAAAAACCACCAAGCCAAACCTTTACTGCTTAAAGGCGTTTTTCAGGTAGAGAACCATACTAAAAAAAAAAAAAAAAAAAGCACTCTAGCACTGTTTCTCAATATTAGCCACTTTAAGATGGGTGGACTTCAGCTCCCAGAATTCCTCAGCCAGGCTGAATTCTGGGAGTTAAAGTCCACCCATATTAAAGCATATTGGCTGGGGAATTCTGGAAGTCCACACGTCTTAAAGTTGCTGAGGTTGACCAAGCACTGTTGAGCATTCTATAGAAGAAATAATTGCAAAGAATGGGATGCATTGGAAAATCCTTAGAGCTCCAGTGATATTTTAAAAGGGGACCACCTTCACCAGATGCCCTTGCTCCCACATCAGACTTCCCTGAATTAGGTCAAAGGGGTTAGCAAGTTTTAAAAATCCTAAGCATGACTAAAATGAGGGTTGTATACCTGCAAGATGGATAGATTTGGGGGGGGGGGCAGTTTCTCTCTCTCCTTCCCTCTCTCCCTCCCTTCCTCCCCCCCCTCTCTCTCCCTCACTCCCTCTCTCTCCAAACTACCTTATAGGGTTGTTGTGGGGGGAAATGGAGAAAAAAGGAGAAAGAATGGATATGTTTGCCACTTTGAATTATTTGTAAAAATAATACAAGGTGGGATACAAATAAATAGTCGCCTCTAGATGAGATGACAGCATAGAAATCATAAATAAATAAATAAAATATTTACCCTCAGCAAACCTGATCTTACAGTTAATCTCAATGTACCCAGTTATATTGTAGTTGTAACCTATCCAGCCTTTATCCATTCAGTCCTCCAAGAAAAAGAGCTGGAGAGAAGGAGCAGCTAAAGGAAAAAGTTCCTCTGTGATAAAATACATCCTTGCAAGAAGACTTGATTGGCCGCAGGGCTTAAGGCACACCTCCTGGTGACGCAATGAAGCCTTGCCAGTGTTCCACTTGCCAGGGCTCCTTATTTTGCAGAGATTTCCTGGAAGAAGTGACTAGAATCTGTATTTCCCAAAGAGTGTTTTTTAAAAAATATTTTTGGTTTGATGGTGTGCTTAGATTTTACAGGAAGTGACTGGGTTAAATTTAGGCAGGGTAGAAACAAATTCATACACCCTGCCACCCACCTATCCCTGAGCAGGGGGTTGGACTAGATGACCTCCAAGATCCCTTCCAACTATTATTATTATTATGGTTCCTCGCACAGTCAGCCAGATGTTCAGACTGGATTTGGCATTTTGTCTACCTATCGAGTCCTTACCAAGGACCTGGGATAGGCAGATGTGGATGTTTGATGGTATTACAGATATCGTCGCAGGATGGAAGCAGTTCCTAGTAAGGCCACCTTTTGCAATTGACTAATAGTGAATTTGTCAATGCCAATGGTGTTCAAGTGGTGCTCAGTTGTTTTGGGATTGCACCCAAGGAGGCTATCACTATTGGTATTACCCTTGCTTGCTTTTGCCACAGTCTTTCTATTTCTATTTGTAGGTCTTTGTATTTTGTTATCTTCTCCAGTTCCTTCTTGTCTATTCTGCTGTCTCCAGGCACTGCCACGTCCACTATCCAGACTTTTTTGTCTTTCTTATCAGCAATTGTTAAGTCCGGGGTGTTATGTTGCAGGTGCTTGTCTGTTTGAATTCTGAAGTCCCAGAGCAGTTTAATTTTATCATTTTCTATGACTTTCTCTATTTTATGTTCCCACCAGTTTTTGCTTACAGGCAAATGATATTTTTTGCAGATCTTCCAATGCACCATTGTTGCTACTTTGTCATGCCGCTGCTTGTAATCAGTTTGTGCAATCTTCTTGCAACAGCTTACCAAGTGGTCCACTGTTTCTTCAGCTTCTTTGCATAGGCGGCACTTACTGTCTGTTGCTGTCTTCTCAATTTTGACTTTGTATGCATTTGTCCTTAAGGCTTGGTATTGTGCAGCCAGAATTAGTCCCTCGGTCTCTTTCTTCAATTTTCCTGCTCTTAGCCATTGCCAGGTTTTATTATTATCTGCCTTCCCAGCTATTTTTTTAAGGTATTGGCCATGTAGTGCTTTGTCTTCCCATGCCTCTATTCTGTTCTTCATTTGGTCTTTCTTGTAGGCCAGTTTGGTTGTTGTTGTTGTTGTTGTTGCTGCTGCTGTTGTTATTGTTATTATTATTATTTTTCCCAGATCAGTGCAGGCTTTCATCAGCAGGCACATGAGTAATGCTCTCCTTTTTAATTGATGTTCGCTTTTTACAGGTAGCCCTTGACTTAAACGACCACAACTGAGCCCAAAATTTCTGTTGCTAAACAAGTCAGTTGTGAGTTTTGCCCCATTTTACAACCTTTCTTGCCACGGTTGTTAAGTGAATCACTGCAGTTGTTAAGTTAGTAACACGGATTGTTAAGTGAATCTGGCTTCCCTGTTGACTTTGCTTGTCAGAAGGTCACAAATGGGATCCCATGACACTGCAGCCGTCATAAATATGAGTCAGTTGCGAAGCGTCCAAATTTTGATTACGTGTCTTATGGGGTTGCTGCGATGGCCATAAGTGTGAAAAACACGGTCATAAATCACTTTTTTTTCCAGTGCCATGATAATTTTGACCGGTCACTAAATGAAGGTTGTAAGTCAAGGACTGCGTGTATTGTTAAGAGTGTTGGTGGTCCTGTTTTATTCAAGTGCCCTTATCTGATCAGAGGTCAAGACAAACATTCATGGCACAAGTTTCGATGGCCGGGTTGGAGGACAGATTGTGGCTTGCTTGGCACTAACTCAGATTGTTATGATTTATAATTTGCCTTTTGCTAGGGAGGGTGGGAGACAAGCAGCAGCCTTTGGGTTGCAGAGGGGAACAGAGGCCTTGTTTG